ACAGTGCCCAGACTCCGGGTGTTCCGCCCTTGGGAGCTTTACACTCGGGTTTTCCTTCGTCCTCGACCCCGGAGAGCGCTATCAAGGGGTGTTTCTCCCCCCCCGGCCGGTCCGGCCCAGGGGGCGGCCTGTGGCTCCCTTGGGAGCCCCGGTGAAGCGTCAGGAGAGCAGGTACTGGGGAGGAGCCTCCCGGGAAGGGCCCCGAGCCGGCCTCAGCCCCAGTTGAACGCCCCGGCGCCATCCCTCCGCCGCCGCACCCCCCCGGGTCTTCTCGCGTTGTGTGCGGGAAGGGAAGACATTTCACGGCCCGCGTGGACGGAGGGGCGGCTCCGCTAAGGAGCCACCGTGGGCCGCGCGCGCCTCTGCGCACTTTTCCTCGGGTCCCTAACCGGCCGGCCTCCCTCCGGGCGCGGCGGCGATGGATGTCGGCGCGCTTGCGCACTCCGCACCCGAGTCCTGGGGGAGCCGCCTCCCCGCGGGCACGCGCGGCGATTGGAGCTCGGCGCCGAGCCTCCTGATTGGGCGGCGGGCGCTTCCGGTCTCTCGCGAGAGGTGGTGGGAGCGCGCCAAGTTTCACCGAGGCTGTGGCGGCGGCGCGATGGTGCTGAGGAACAGCGGGCGGCGGTACGCGGAGCCCGGCGGGGACGGCGAGACCAGCCGGTAAGGGGCGCCCCGGGCGGGGGGGCGGGGGGCTCGGGGCCTTCTTCCCTGTGGCCCTGGGCTCGCGCTAAAAGGCGGCGGGCGCTCGGGGAGCGGGGCGGGGGCGGGGCCGCCGCTGTGGCGGAGCCGTCAGTCCCCTGGACGGGCGGGCGTCGCGGAGGTGGCGGCTCCTTCCGTGAGGCCGAGGCGCTGTCCAGCGGGTGGGCGGCCCACCCTGTGCTGCGGCTGCTCGGGTCTTCGGCGCCTGAGCCGCCGGGACGAAGGGGGTGCAGCGCGGAGAGAGGGCTCGGGGGGAGACGCTCGTCCGCTCACCGCCGGTCGCAGCCCTTCCCGCGTCGGGCGGTGCAGGAGGCGCCTCGCCGGAGCGCGTGTCCACTTTGCTCATGTCCCCGGCTGCCCTCCAGGAGCCCTGCCCGCTTGTCCGGGGCTCACCTGCCCGCTTGTCCGGGGCACAAGCAGAGCCCAGTCCATCCCCGCTATACCGTGTTGCCGCTTTGCAGTTTTCTCTCGATAAAACCCATGGAGAAGTCTCCTATAGTAGCTAGTGCCGATTCCATTTTGCCAAGAAACAAACTAACAACAAACTTGGGGACTAACATCTCAGAAATAAGTTTAAACAAACAACTTATTACCCTGAGATAATTCCCCGAGTGGTAACATCTGGCATCGCTATGTAAAAAGACGCCCACTGACCTGCAGATCACA